AGCCAGCCCAGGCACCTGCTTATGGCGCAAGCAACGCTCCTCCTCTCCAGTTTTCAGTTTCCTGTAGTAGATCCACTCCTTCTCCATGTTAGGCACAGGCTCTTCCTGTGACTCAGAAATGGACCTTCTTTTACAATAGTACGTGGCTGAAGCAGATTCATCTCTGTAATAGCAAGAGGAGGTTATTTCTAGGTGTGCATTCCATTTGGTTTGAGATGAAGTCAGCAAAAGTTTCCGATTTCACTCATCTGAAGAGATCCAGCTATCAACCAGTGCTGCTGCAATTGCAACCCAAGTGTACACAGACTTTCTAAATAATACAATAACCCCACCAAAACTCCCACCTCCTCTATATTCTTCCCCTACTTTATATTCTAACAATAAGAGTGAGACAAATAGCACATCTGAAGAATGACAAATGATATCTACCCCAAGACTTTTCATTCTAGGGCTTATCTAAACAAAATTCCCTTTGGAGAAGGGATGAGCTATGGGCAGTGTGGGCAGGGCTGAAAAAGAGATGTTAGTTTTTCTTTTTTCAGAAAATACAGAAGTTCTTCTTTAGAATAAATAACATTTTGTTCAATGTGAGAAAGTTACTTTCCACCAGAAATCCAAAATGTGCAGCACACTCACCTGTGCTCCACAGCAGCCACTATAAAGCCCTGAGAAGCCATCTCTATGCAAATAGCAGAATAGATTGTCCTGCAATAAAAACCACACTCTGGTGAGATGTCATTCTTTCAATTCCATTGCTCTTTAAATGCTGACCACACTGGTTGCACTAGTTTCCACTCAATATTTCTTCTCTTTGAATTTGCTACCCAGCAGAGCAAGATTTCGTACACCAGGTACCAAAGGCTGTTCACAAAACCTTGGTACTGTTTTACTGTCTATTCAGAAAGGAAAATGCCACTGATTTTTAATAAGTAGCACACACAGCACTTTGCATCTTCAAAGAGCTGTCCAAAAATCAACCAGCTAATCTTCACAACATTCTCATGGGCTGGTAAATATCTTCACCTCCATCATACAAAGGGAAAACACAAATGGAGCTCTGAGCAACCTGGTCTAGGGGAAGCTGTCCCTGCCCACAGCAGAGATGATCTTTAAAGACCCTTCCAACCCAGGCTGTTCTATTACTCTGTGACCAGCCATACATCAACCCTGCTGTTGTTTCAGTGGGGGCATAATGACACATGGCAGCCTGTTCTTCAAACCTGTTTCAGCTCCACAAGGATCTCACCCCCCTACTGAAAATCTGTTCAGAACCACCCTTGGAGACTGCTGTCTCCATAGACAACAAAACCAGTTTATCAACAAACTGCAAAATTACCGAAAAGCTCCAAGTCCGTGGGAAAAAACAATAAGTGGGTATTTTTCTCCTGGTTTAAAAGCAGCATTTGACTTTGCAGGACAGGTCACTGAACCTAAATAAAAATGGAAGTGTACATCATTATTACTGGAATGAGAGAAAGTGTTTGTTCCTGTGGGAGAGATCCCAAGAATGTAGTGATCACTAATATTAGAGCAATCACCTAAAGATAAGGTGCCAAGACTCATCTTTAAAATAGAAAGCAAATATGGATCTGATTCTGAAAATACGTTCTACTTGGCAGAAGATACTTGTCTTCTCCTCCTCCCATCCACAGCCTGGCACAAGTCTACATATCTCTTAAATCTTCATAGTCAGGCATCCAGCTCTTGCTGATATTCAGACCTTAGGATCTCTCTGACTTTTGTATCTTTGCACATTTTCTTGTGGGATTTAAATCACAACACACAGGTGCAGCTGACGTAGAGCAAACTGCCCAGACACTTCTGTGCACAGCAGTCAGGGACTGCCTGAGAGCTGGGGTCACATTTAGCACTCTCACTACACAAACCAATCCCACAAAACCACACTTGTTTACTAAAAACTCTTTTTCAGCCCTGCAGCAGTAACACTCATGGAGCATGGAGGCAGTGACAGGAATAAAGGACTAAAACAAGAACAAGTCTTACCAACATAGTAATGGAAAAGCCTTTCTCCTACAACTCGGTACAGATTAAGGAAGTCAGAGAGTCCCTGATAGTATTCTTTGTCTGGAATCCATCGTGCCTCCTCAATATCTGTGGCATCATATGCTGGATAATACAGGCGCAAAAAGCTTCCCTGGGATTAGGAAAAATTAGGGAAAAAATAAAAAATTAATAATGGTATTTATTTATATATGGAAGAGAAAATGGAAGATTAAAACATTTATAGAAAAGGTTTTGGTTGCAAGAATGCAGTTCAAGAGAATTATGAGTATCTCACGAGAAAGTTATTATCATATACAGGCTTTGATGCCAATCCTATGTCACAATCTTCCTGTGCCTACAATGAATTTAAAGTAACATGAGATACACATCATCACAGCATAGTTAGCTTAGGGCTTATTAGAAATGCTTCATTTAATTAAGTTAATTATTACAAACACTCACTACCTATTTGCTTAATCCAGCATCTTACTGGATCTTTTCTTCTGTCTTCTTTGCTGGGAATGGTTTGATGATGTGTTTTGCTAAGTTTTATAGGGCTGACTGTTGAAGGGGTGACTGAAGATGACCTGAGAGCTGGAGCACCACTCCAAGCATGACAGGCTGAGAGAGCTGGGACTGTTCAGCCTGGAGAAAATAAGGCTGTCTAACGTGGATGTAGTGTTCCTGCCTAAACTGAGCAGAGGCTGTCAGCAAAGCTCTTGGGCAGCTGCCCAGCAAGGGAGAACAATACATCGCTCTTCCTCCTCATCAAGAAGTTCACAAGTCTCTTGTGGTCCATCTTTCTAAACACAACTTTGTTAGCCTGTGTTTCATCTGCCTCAGTTAAAAACTCTTACTGTCTGTACTCCAGGTACCCCAGAAAAGCACCCAAGCTTTCCACACTTACAGGGACCTTCCATACCCCCTTGTCAGTCTTTTTCCTTTACAGACAGCAGCAATGTACCAATGCACACCACAAAGCAGACTTCCCAGCAGATGAACTGTGTGCAATTTGCATTCTTATTTCCTGGTTTGCAAGGGAATTTGCAACACCCCGTTCAAATTCGCTGTCTTGCTCCAGCTGTATTTTGGTTTTAGCAAGTTACAATCAGGGCCAAAATAAACATGAGCTTTGAAATAAAGCCTGATTTCTTGAACACTAACTTATCAGTTTACCAAAAGTTTGTTTAATGAAGCTTGTTTCTATTCACTTATCAAACTTAAATCAACCTTTGACACAGAGACCATTATGGAAGAACTTTCCTCCACATTGGTAGTGATATTAACTTGATCTCAGAACAGTCCCAGTGAGCCTCCCCAATGACTGATTACCAGAAAGGGGAAGAGGTTCATTATTTATGCCTGAGAGAACTGCAATTGTTCATAATGCTTATGTAAAAAAACCCACATAGGCTGACTGCAAAGAGAAACTCGTAATTTCTCTGTGCTGATATAGAGTAAGCTCAGTAAAGGAAAACATATGAACCATTGCAAACTGATCCCAAGTTCCACTCCCTGTGGCTACTTTGTGGAGTAAAACCACAGTGTAAATGCAGGTGTATTCTCACAAAGGCAAGAGGATTTGAAACGGAAACTCACAAGCAAGCTCATTACTTGTATGGTCCCCTGTCTTACTATTGTGAGTTCTCAATGCACTAACCTCTTGCAAAATTGACATCCTGTTCATCTTCAGTGAGATAACATCTCAAGACGACATCTTGTCTTTTACCCTGCAGCTGAAACACTACATAGACTCATCTCCCAACAATCCTGTTGGGATCTTTGTGATGAGAACAGCCAGAGTCACAGACTGCATGTGGAGTCTCCTCAGGAGCCCAGCGCAAGAGGGAGCAGTGGCGTGGGTGGGAAGAACCCCCTGGGTTCCAGGAGGACACAGTTTCTCTGCAGTATCTTGTGTAGGAGAGTCAGAAAGGCAAGGACATTAGAATAGGGAGGAGTTAGCCATGGGAAAGGCTTGCAGGTTACGTCCATCTGGTAAATGCCCAGTACACATCCTACACCAGGATGGAGAGGATAGAAAGCTCAGCTGTGAATGTCAGCATGGAGCACACAGGCAAGATCACCTGCTTTAAAACTGCAGCCAGTTGTTTCACTAACATTGTGGCTTAAATTCAAAGAGTCAAGAACTTTACCTCAACTGCATTTTCTGTCATCAGGTCTGTACATCCAACCGAGTGTGGTCCCTTTCCTTCAGGGATCCTGTAAAACTTCTCTGTGCTGCTGGTGCCCCACATTTCCATTGGTGCATTCACCGACAAACCTGGGGGAAAACACAAAGCAAATCAAGAGACCACCATGGCCTCTGTGACCAGACCACCCACACTGAGACAAATCCAGCACGCTGAAAATCCAGAATTAGAAAAATCAAGATTGAGCCAATACAGAAATCTGCTCGTGAGAAACAAAGAAATCCCGAATTGCCAACCTGACCTGTTCTACTCGGGATTTTCCTTGTTGTATCCTGAATCCCAAGGAGCAGACAGCGCCGTGCACTTGCAGAACAGTGGGATGAAACCTTTGGCTGGCGAGGCCGCGGCGGCACTCGGGAGCTCTGCGGTGCTACGGACCGCACAAAGGGAGGATTCTGCTGCTCCTCAAGGAAAACCGGCCTGTGCATCAGGGGAAGCGGGATGTCACGGAGAAACACAACGCCGCTGCCATTTTTCCAGCAGGAATGACGAATCCCAAGCTCGGCCCCCGGCGAGACAAGGTCGGGCTGCCTGTGCCGGAGCGGGTGTCGGGGCGGTGTGACCGAACCTGGGGTGACCCCTCCGCGCCGGGCTGGCCCCGGCGATGCGCAGAGCGCGGGGGAAAGCAGCCGCATCCCGGGCTCGGCTCTATCTGCCACCGCCTCCTTGGGGAAGGAGACACGGAGCCATCCTTCTCCCGGTACCCCGCCGCCCGGCCGTACTGCCCCGGGGCGGGGCTCCCGGTGCGATGTCACGGCTGCCCCTCCCCGGAAAAGCCGCGGGGCCGGCGGCCGCTCCGCCCCGGAAAAGTCCCTCTCAGGCGGCAGCGCGGCGGATCCCGGTCCCGCGAAGATGGTGCGGAAACTCAAGTACCACGAGCAGAAGCTGCTGCGGCGGCTGGACCTGGTGAACTGGGAGGCGTCGAGCGGGAACTTGGCGGAGGTGCGGGCGCTGCGGCGGTACCGGGTGGGCCGGCGGGAGGACTACGTGCAGTACAAGGCGCTGGCCCGCGCCGTGCGCGCCCTGGCCCGGCGGCTCCGCGACCTGGGCCCGGCCAGCGCCGCCTTCCGCGCCCGCTGCGCCGCCGCGCTGCTGGAGAAGCTGCACGGGCTGGGGCTGGTGAACAGCCGGCAGTCGCTGGCCGTCTGCGAGAGCCTCTCGGCCGCCGCCTTCTGCCGCCGGCGCCTGCCCTGCCTGCTGGTGAAGCTGCGCATGGCGCAGAACCTGCGCCACGCCGTCACCTTCGTGGAGCAGGGGCACGTCCGCGTGGGGCCCGAGGTGGTGACAGACCCCGCGCTCCTCGTGCCCCGCGCCGTCGAGGACTTCATCACCTGGGTGGACGCGTCGCGCCTGCGGCAGAAGGTGCTCGACTACAACCAGGAGCGTGACGACTTCGACCTGGCCGCCTAGGGCTGCCCTGCTGCCCTGCTCACAGGACACGCACACCGATAAGACCACGGCGATGCCACCACGGGACAGTCACACACCTGCAAAGGGAGCCAGAAGGAAGCTGTGTGCTTCCAGTGTCGCACTGACCTGCTCCTGGCTCCCTTTCACAGCTAATGGTTCCATTCATCCATGCAGAGGAACAACCTTTACACATACATTGCTTCGAGAATACATCCAGTGGCCCAGCTTCATCGCTGTCTCCAGCGTGCTCAGCTCCATCATCATCCCTGGCATGATGTCCTGGTTGCCAGTGGCCCAGCTTCATTGCTGTCTCCAGGCATTCCCAGCTTCACTGTCAGCCCAGCAGCTCAGCTCCATCATCATCCCCAATGTTTCCAACTCCATCATCATCCTTGGCATGATGTCCTGGTTCAGGGCAAATTTTCCTTCTCCCCCACTCTTCGCTCTCAGATCTAGTTTTAAAGGTGCAGAACTTATTTCTGGGCTAAAGAGACAGATGGGGCTACCAGCATCACCCCAGGACACATCTCAGCTCCATCATCATCCCCAGCATGCCCAGCTCCCTCATCCTTAAATGTGCATCTCCATCATCCTTACATCCCATAAAAGAAAAGTGCTTGGAAAAGTCTTTGCCCAGTCACAGGAGAGGATTTAGGTCAGCCTCAAGTGCTTGGCAGCTCAATAGCTGCTGGAAGGGGTTTTAAGCCAAGCCAAGTGGTTGTTTTAAGACTGAGTTTAGCTGCTTCACTGCTCTTTGTGCAAGAGGTTGTCCTGGCTCCTCCTTCAGCTGCTGAATGCACAGCAATCAGAATTACTTCTGGAAGGGTTTCCTGTGATATCAAGGAACAAGGAGGGGATTTCTGGGGATAAGCATTAAACAAGAAGGCCAAATACCGCGTTTCTGGAACTGTTAAAAGTTTTAGCCAAAAATGGAATTAAAAACAAAACAAAAACCAAAAAACTTTGTCATGTGAAGTTGTGAAGGGTAGTTTGATGCTTTGAGTTGTGTCTTTGATGTGTGGGGTTCCAGATGACCATTATGCATCATTTATGATCCATCATAAATGGATCGAACTGGGGAGGTGTTGGAGCAAAAGCTGATCTTACATAACTGCAGATTTGGGGGAACTTTTGCATAAAGCACATTAGCCAGGGGCTGTTAGGAACTTTGTTCCCTTTTGATGAAAAAAAGCAAAAAAAAAAAAACCAAAAATAAAACTATTGGGTTTTTTTAGTTGGTGAAGAAATGTGTGGACTGCTTTATGATATAGTTTCTCTCAGTTTATTCTGATTTTTAGATGGTCCAGTAAGCCCTGGTTGCCACCTTTCAGAACTTTTTTTAAATTTAAGTTTTTATGTAACTTATGTGAGTCTGGTTTTATTTTAATAGCTAGAAGGCTATTACTGAGTTGTAATGTGTTTATCCTAGGAATGCTTTCTTTCCCTTACCTATGAAAGGATTTGGCAGTAGGTTTAGGAGCAGAGCTGTGACTGTCCATCCCAAATCCAAAGAGCTGGAGTGCAGCTACTGTCAAAGCTCTGGATGTGGATGCCTTAGTGTGGCTTTTTTGAAACAGAAGAAGTGTTCAGGTGAGGTATGTTTTGGAGGCATTGCATGACCACAATATGTCACCAAATATTATGTCAAGTTTTTGTAAGACAAACAATGTTTACATTTCTTCCCAGTCTCATAAGCCAGCTGTATTAAGCAGAACAAATATTAAAGCAGTAATAGATATTAAGAAAAGGACACTAAATGGCTGGATAAACCATTTGCCTACTACTGCTGTTTGTACTTGAATTTATTTCAGTAACCATAACCTCAACAACATCTTAACCGCTTTCTTAAGAGTGTGCATCTTGCTTATGGTAAGAAATGCAGACTGAAAAAAAGTTTCACACCTGAAACCTGACTTTTAAACACCTTCCCAGCTTCCCTTTCCTCTAGAACAGGTGCAGGTTAAAACAGTTCTGCTGTGCTTTACTCTTTTGGGGGAATTTAAGTAACAGCACAGTGACTGTGCAGGGCATTTTACTACTGAGATGCTAAACTCCTGCTCTGCCCAGTGTGTCCAGCCCTTGGAGGAACTGCAGAAAAGGAAATATCAAACCTCCAGCCTGTCAGCCTCTGCAGTTCACATCATCAGACCATTCCTTTTGTATGAAACCTGCTTTTTATCATTCATCTGCACACCTTCAGCATCTGTAGCAGAAGAGAAATAATCCTGTAGACTGTTAAATTAAGCAGGGGAATTGATTTCCCTAGAAATATGTGGGATAACAGCATCCATGACCCCTGCTCTCCTCCTGTGGTACTGGAAATCAAATTCTTAGTTCTCTGAGAAATCGGGCTCCGTGTTTTAAGTCTGGAATTTCTTAACTGTGCTGGTTGTACAGTAGCAGAGACCTGAGATGAGTGTCCTGCTCCTCAGTTTTTAGCAGCTGGTGTCCTTGCACATCCCTGACCAGAGCTGGGTACACTTTAAGTACAATAAACAGACAAAATGGAAGTTCCAGCAGCACAGCCACATTCCTGCTGGTGATTACAACCAGGGAAATGATGGCTTCCTCATGTTCCATTGTGCTTTTGCCTTTAGTTCCTGGGTTTGCGTTTGTTTTCCAGAGCTGACATGCTGTGGCCACTGCTGGCTCGTTCCTGCAGCAGTTCTGGAGCTGGGGATTGAAAGGCCACAGGAAGTAGCTCCGACAGCCTTTCCCAACACTTGGATAAACATAGAGGCTTTTGTTAAATTCCAAGGCTGATCCAATGTCAGTAAAATTTGCACAGCTGCCATGGGCCTGTGTGAACTGGCATGAGGATATGATCCAACATTGCCCTTTTTTGGGCCAGGTCCTTCAAACTCTCCCCTCCAGTGCTCTGGGGACTTGCAGCAGAACTTATGCATGTGAGAGTAACAGGATGGGGTCCTGGGTGTCACTGTACTTCTTCCCTGTACCTTCTGAAGTGGGCTTGATGTTCCTCAGGCGCCCCAACATCTCCATGGGTCTTGTGGGAAGTTGCTGCTGCAGGACAGAGGAGGGTGGTGCTGGTGATGGGGCAAACTCACTCCATCCCTGACAAAACTTGGTCACTGCCACCTCCATATGTGCCTGTCCCAGGAGCTGGGGGGTGCAGGGGCACCAGCTTCTCCAGAAAGGGAGAACAGGGCTGCAGAGGGGTCTGGGAAGTGCAAAAGCCATTGGCAAACAACGAGCAGTTTCCAGGCAGGAGCTCTCACATGGATAGTGGGCAGCAGGAGAGGAGGTTTTACCAGGGCCTTTGGTTTTAGGTTTGAGGGGGTTATTTTTTTCTCTTTTTTTCCCCTTTTATTTTTTTCTTTTTTCTTTTTTTTTTCTCCTGACCTTGGCTTTCCTTTTATTTGAAGACTGCCAAAGCAGAGAAGCTGAGGCTGAGGAATGTGGGGGAGCTGAAGGAAGGAGTCCTTCACACTGACGCCTTTTGTGCTGCAATGTGTAAAAGGCTGAGGCTGTCACTGAAATGCAAATGTGGCTTTTCACTGATCTAAGCTCCATTTTTTTCCCAGTAAACAAGAATGCTGCATGTTTTAAAGGCTGCTTCCATCCGACGTTTTGGTGTGGCTTAAGTGCTGACCTCAGTTAATCACTGACAGCACATCACCATGAGCCTTGGGGCTCAGGAAGGATGGTACATCCCCCTTCTCAAGATGGGAAATGGAGACTGAGAAACAAAGTGGAATTGGGCAATTCTCATGTTTTTGAGTGGTGGTCCTATATCCTGGTCAGGGCCTTCTAACCTTGCTGAAGAGCACTTCCCCATGCTCATCTCTGCAGCACTCCCCAGTAAGAAACCCCATAGCAGATGGAAGTCTCACTGTCCCCTTTTTGAGCTCTGAATAATGTTTTAAATACATCCCCTGACCACAGATCTGACCCTGGAGATTGAACCAAAGAGCCATTTCTCATCACCAGGGCTTGGGATCACCTTAGTCCCTATCCCAGAAGCCAAAACACTTCAATATTCACTGGGTCTGGGGGATTATTATCTTAAGAGTTATGTCAGCATTTACGTGAGAGCCCCAGCTCTTGTCCCTGCTTTTAAATACACCATTTTTGGCAGTGAAGCATCTTTTCTGACCCACTGCTTGCTGGTCTGCAGCAGGACTTTGTAGTGGGAAGCCTGCCTGCTGGGAACCATCCCCTCTCACTTCTCTGCAAGTACAACAGCCTCTTCCTCCCTCGTATCAGCTGATTTTGAAGACAGAAAGTATTTTGCACCCAGCAGGCAGAGAAAGGGGAGGCAACCCATTAATGAGAGATGGAGATCTGAGCATGTCCCATTCCTCCTGAAGCTGCAGTTAGGGGATCCTATGTGTCCGCAGCAGGGTTTCACCACAGTTTGATCCCACATGTCCCCAGCAGTAAATCACAGTTTCTGGGCTGCTGTGAACACGTCAGTGGGGTTGGTGCCCAGGCAGCACCACCACCCTCGATCCCGATCATTATTTACAACATGTATTTATCAAACCAAATATTCAGCGGAGCCACCACCTGCAGCTCCTGGAGAGGCTGGGATGGTTGTGTCACAGGGTAAAGTGCAGGCAGGCTGTCCCGGCGGGTCCGTGTGGCTGACATGGCAGTCCTCGACTTGTCCCTTGTACCCGAGCTTGGACTTGAAACATACCAGGGCTTGAGCTTGAAACACACCAGAGGAGCCACGTCCTAAAACCACCTTCTCTCCACACCAGCTCCAAGAGCAGCTGGGGTGCAGGGTCCCATGCACATATCGGGATGCTGGGTTTGGAGAAGGTGAATGCTGGTGCTGGAAGAGCACTCAAAGCTCCTACACCTTGTCCCACTCAGCTTCCCTGAAGAATTTAGGTGGGGAAGGAACGCTGGAAGTCACCTAATCCAAACCCCTGCTCAAAGCAGGGCACACATGGGGCTGCCTCAGGTCTGCATGTCTCAATGCTGGACACCTGAAGCACAGTTTAATAATTCTCGCTGTGAATTATCTTTTCCATCTAGTCGGAGTTTTCCCTGCTGCAGCCTGGGACTGCTGCATCCCATCCCCATGCTGGACACAGCCGTGCTTGAGGTGGGATTTATTTCCCTGAATGCTGTCCACACACGGACAGGCAAAGGGACATGTCCCCCGTTACCCCTGTCACCCCGTTACCCGAAGTGAATCTCACCCTTCCACAGGGACACACAGGGATTTGGGGCTGGATAAGGGGCTGGAAGGAAGGAAGGAGGGAAGCCGAGGTGCGCGATCCCTCGAGGGCTGGGAACAGGGAGTGCGAGCAGTGAAGCTGCCTGAGGTGCTGCGCACAAATTACTCAACTCCTTAAAATTCCCCTCACGTCACCATTGCTCCTCCCGTGCTCCCCCCAATCCTTTTTTTGCTCTTTGCAGGCCTTCACGTACCTGTTGTGCGGTGTCCTGGCTGCCCCCTGCTCCCGTCCCGCCGTCCAGAGGAGCAGGATGTCCCCTCTGGCCACCCACGGCCCTCCGGAGCCGCCGAGCAGCGGCTGCTCCCTCAGGAGGCGGCCTCTGTCGCAGGCACAGCGACTGCCGGGCTCTCCCCGAAGGGGAGGGACCAAACTCTGCCTTAGTTTTCAGCTGAGACAATCTTTCTGGGAGAAATCTTCCCTGGGCCTGGAAAACAAGTTTCTGGCATGGAGCCATCCCCAACACAGCCTGCGCGTCCCAGCGGAGCCCGCGGCCGCCGAGGTGCTGGGCAGTGCCCCGGTACGGCAGGGACACGGTCATGTGTGGGCTCCTTGTCTGTGAGCTCTGGATCTCCCGGCAGGGGCTGGGTCAAGCAGCAGGAACCCCACGAGAAAATTCCCCCGGATGCGTTGCAACACCCCGTGGAGGAGCTGCAATGCCTGTGGCCGGGTGAGCGGCGGGGGACGGCGCTTTGGCTCAAGGCTGTGCTGTAAAAATACAAATCTTTTCCTCTGTCCTTATGAGAAGGGGATAACCGCAGTCTAGGGAGGCAGATCCCACTTTTGGGTATGACATCTGGGGTGGCTGAAGGGGATTTAGCACAGGTCCCTGCTTGTGGGGCAGATCTGTGCTCACCCCCCTTTGCATAGTCCTGGCATTTGCCCCCTCAGTAATGCTGAATTCAGGGAATTCACCTGAAGAACAGTAATAAAATATTAATTTTGTGAGAGATCAACAGCTGTGAAATGCCCCATGAGCTTCAAGGCTAGCATATGGAGGCAGCAGGGGAGGAGGGGAGGTAGAATTTGGCTTGGCTTAAATTGCTTATGAAGTTGCCCCTGTGGGCTGTCCCCTTGGAGAGCTGCTGAGCTCCTGCTTTGGGATGAGCAGCTTCCCTTCCCTTTGGGTGTGGGTATGAGCTGAAGCTGGAAAAGAATAAGAAAGTTGTATGAAAAGGTCCAAGATTTTTTTTTCCTGTACTTTTGTCCAGTTCTCATTTCAGTGATGGGCTGGATGCATTAACATTTGACATTTTCAGGATAGATTTCATGTAGTTGAAATGTGTTGGAGAACAAGTCAGAATATCTCTTTTTAATCTAAAGGAACAGGTTCTTCAAGGTTAGTGAGAGACAATTAGGAGGAGGAAGCAGTACACAGATGGTTAGAGTAACAGAGATCCCATGATACTTTTTTGGCCCACTAGGGGCTCCAAAATTTATTTTTCTTTTTAATATATTCAGATTTTTCCAGATGTGCAGGAGTCAAACTCAGTAGAAGACAGATATGGGATTTTGGATCTTATCTACACAGTCCAGCCATCCAGGTGTGAAACAGGCTATGAATCTTAGTTTAGGACCATTCGTCCTTGCCCTATCATCTCTTTTAATAAGCTTAATTATTATTACCCCTTATATAATTTTCACCACAAAACATCAGAGGATGCTTGCATAAATGTTTCTGTCATTGCAACAGAATGCTACCACTAAGAGACCTGCAGCACTGGCAAGGGAGGAGCCTGTTCCCATGGTTAGTGAGCACAACAAACCCGTGGCAAATGTTCAATGTAGCTTTAGCTACAAGTTCTTTATATAAAGAACTGCACTTTGCTGCAGATTTCTGCGTCTACAGACCAAAAGTCACCATCAGTCTGTGATCACTGGTTTGAAGATAAATTTTTTTCCCCCTGCCATTCCTTTTTCCTTATTTTTGGACAAATCTTGTTTTCTCATGGTGCCCGTCTCATTTTTAATCCAGGTGCTGCTTGATCTATTGAAGCTGCTGAGAGGAGCTGACCCATCGGTGAGCACCCACTGAACAACCATGCCTCTGTTAGCAGGTGCCTTCCTGAAGAGTGCAGCATGACAGAGCTCCATGAAGCCGTGGCTGTGGGCGACTATGACCTGGTGAAAAAGATTTTGAAGGCAGGGCGCTGCGACCCAAACCAGAAGGATGTCGACTGGCATGACAGGACCCCCCTGCACTGGGCTGCTGCCAAAGGTAAAGGCACCCCCAGCTCTGCTGCCTCTGTGAATGGACATCATAAAAGGTGATGCTGATCACCTGTAACTTTATCTAGGCTGGCAAAATCTCAGCTTGTATTTGGTAATTTTGTCCCTAATGAGCAAAAAAAAAGGTTAAATTTCCATTTAAATGGGAACTTTGCCGACAAAATAGTTTATGGGACTGCTGTTGAAATTATTTTTAGCTTTTTTCTTCCATCACACAACAATTTGCAATTTACATGATGTACACATAGGGAATGGCTGCTTTTCCCCCCCTTACTTTTCTAAGAGATGACTCCATGGGTTTATTTCTCATGTACACCTGTGGGAAAGAGCAGGAAGTCAAACCCACTGTATTTACACCATGTATTTATCAAACCAAATAGAAAAAAATAATAACTGTGTTTTTACATTGCTCTTTATATTCCACCTCTTGAATGAACAATGCAGGACCAGAGCTGTTTGCAGCTCCCATTTGGTCCTTCACCTTCAGAAGTGTCTGGTAAACTCAAATATGCCTTTACAGCCCAAAAAAGAGATGATGCAACAATAAATAATGTATAATTGTACACAGTGTAAAATGGGAAACTAGACCTCTACTCCTCTGTGACACAGTGTTTGTTGGGATCTCATGTCGTCATATCTGTCTTTGCTCAGAAATCAAGTGTGTGATTTCCTGTTTTACACTTAAGATCATGTTTTTGTTTTGTCCTGATGGATTATTAGGCATTTAAACATCAGCAAAGGGGACTGAGCCGCTTAACAAAAATGAGTGAGAAGCTGACAGAGTCTAGATGTGATTTGGAATAGTCTAGCTCAGTCAAGGCAGTGTGAAGTGGTGTAGAAATAACTTTTTTTGCTTCTTTAAGCAATTCCACTAGTTAGAAAAATGTGAAGTTGAATGAAAAAAGCAGTAGTTTCTCTACCTGCTATCCAAAAAAACTTTGTTTTAGTAAAGCTGTTCACAGATTTTTCCATTCTCAATGTTTAAATTTTATTTTGCAATTGAACTAAAAACCAAAATGAAGCAATGAAATAGCCAATTGGTCGATGACTAATTGACATGTGCTGTTCAGAAATTAGAAAGCTTTTTGATTTGGTTGTTTTTGTTGTAAATTTCTTCTGGAAACAATCTGGGAGTTTGGGAGAAAATAACCAACATTTTCTATTCAGTATCACTGATATGATAAACCAGATAGTCAGGTGGGTGAAATCCTTGTCTGAGGGAATTATGACCAGCTGTGTGTCTAGTTTGGGAGAAAATAACCAGCATTTTCTATGCTGGTTAGCATATCAGTATCACTGATATGATAAACCAAATAGTCAGGTGGGTGAAATCCTTGTCTGAGGGAATTATGACCAGCTGTGTGTGACCACCCTCTGCATCCTGAAGGTATAAATTCTAAAGCATCTTCTCTCCCGGTTTTGCTGCGCGCTGCCAGGGCGGCCGGACCTGGTCATGCTCCTGGTGGATCACGGTGCCCGGCACTGCCTGCGGAGCGATGTGGGCTGGACCGCGGCTCACTTCGCTGCCGAGGCGGGGAAGCTGCCGGTGCTCCGCGCCCTTCACTCCCTGCACGCTGCTATGGATGCCGCCGACCTCTTCGGAGACACTCCACGGAGGCTCGCGGAGATCTACGGACACCGGGAGTGCTCCAAATTCTTGGAAAAGTGAGTGGTGGTGGCAGGTCTTGCTGCGGCTGCGGTGAAAATTAACCTCACTGCTCCACAAAGGACCAGAACACACACAGTGCGTTACTTACTTTCCCACCCAAAGCCTGCTAAAGCCCTGACACACAAGCTGTAGTGGATGAGCAAACACGGGCCTGTCACGGGGAAGCCGTGAGAAGACATTCTTTTATTCCCCTGCCTCCTGCGGTTTCCCTTAGTATGTTTTCAAAATCGTTACCACTTCATGACATCACTGTTTTTGTAAGGATGTTGCAGAGCCGTTATTAAGCAACAGAAATGAAAGCAACAACTGACAAGTGTTAACCCCTTACAGTGGTGAATAGCAAATACACGGGTTGAGTTGTTTAGGAACAGCCCTTGGCAGTTGTGTGTGTTTGTGTGTGTATATATATTTATATGTATATCATTTGGCTTTCTTATAGTAAAGAAAAAAAGCCACCCTGTTTTTTACATAATCTCTGTAAATTAGACCATTTAATAGCATGATCATATAGTACTTCCAAATTTTGGGAAAATCCATGCTGTCTTAATTGCTTACAGTTAACACTATGGCAGTGCATGCCATAAGAAATATGCTTTTTAATGATTCCCAATTACCATTCCTGTTTTTCAGCTGTTGGCTTGACTCACAGGTATTTTCATCCTTGCAAAGGTGTTTCCCTGGATCAGAATGCTTTACTGCAGAAGTTTGAACTGTGTCCCATCCTGTATCTCTCTAAAGGAGTGGGACAGATCACCAGAGGTCAACCAGATTGTTCAGTGCAAGCCACAGTCCCAACACTGCTTTAATTTGATACACTGCCCACAAAAAATATACTGCCAGACCCTGGAGTGCTGAGAGCTCCCAAAGGTGTTTTCTGCCTGGGTTTTTCTGTAACTTTACAGTCCCATCATCATCCTTCACTGGCATCTCTTTTACCACTTCCACATTCTCAAGACTGCTTTGGTACCATGAATATCCTGTATTTTTTTAATAGACATTTATCCAACTCAAAGTCTCTAACTTGCCAGTGCAGCACGTAAGCTGCCAAGTTCAAAATCAGGCATGGTGACAGGCAAATATCTGAGGAGGCCACTGCCTCACAAATGCCACTTTTCATTAATCCATATAAACTTTTCTGTAGGTACTGCTGTCCTTCTGCTGTACTTCTACAGCTTGGTTCCTGCTGAAATGCCCCATGCCCACCTTTTATCTTGACACATGAGAGTCCTTCCATAAGAAAATACAACCAAACTGCAGAATTCCCCTGTAAGAGCCCAGAAAACTTTGTAGCAGAGGCACAAGCTCTGGTTTCCAAGCTCTGGCTGTTGGAAGCTGCTGATAGCTTTGCATTTTAACTGCCCACCCAAACACAGAATAATAGAATGGTTGGAAGAGACGTTAAAGCTCATCTCATTCCAATCCCTTACCATGGACAGGGACCCCTTCCACTAGACCACGATCATATAGTACTTCCAATCAAGTACTTCATCTCATTCCAATCCCTTACCATGGACAGGGATCCCTTCCACTAGACCAGATTGCTCAAAGCCCTTTCTGCTGTGATGGAGCTGAACACCCAGAGTGGGGCATCCAGACCATCTTAGAGCTAAAGCCTTTTTGGTTTTGGAACTGACATGCTGTCATCTCCCACTATTCACCACTTTCCTTCCACACAGATGTATCCGCTCTTCTTATTCTCAGACCTTCAGTTTAAAGGCATTTAGGCAGCCAGCAGCTGATAATGAAGCTTTGAAAATTAGATTTTTTTACTACCTAGCCAATATCTAGGTAGTAAAGCTCAGATATGAGAATGGGGCATTGTCTTCCAGTAGAGATTCTCTTTATACTCTTCTCAGCTCTTGGCATACTTAGTTTCTATACCAGAACAGGTAAATATTATCTAACCTAGAGGGTGAAAGTCTGCAGACTTCTTCCCCTTAGATGAAAAACTTATAGCAATTACTTGCCTATTCAATGCTGTCCATTTTGCACTAATCTCACCAGTAATTCCTGCCAAGTCTGTAGCATTTGCTGTGCTCTGGATGTGCTCCAGAGCCATGGGAGTGAGCTGACAGCAGGGGTAGGGGAATTGCCTGGATGATGCCAAAGGGCAATGCCTGTGGCAGGCAGAGGTGCCTGGGAGAATCATTGACAGATTGATTGACAGAATGATTGACATCCTGGTCTGAGACATGTTAGCAACAGCCTATGGTGACTGAGGTCAGCTGATGAAGGGCTTTCTGTGGTGAATGACTGATTTAAGGTGGAAAACTTTTCTTTCAGAACCGCATGCTGGCCTGACTCACCCCACAGGTGCATGGCTCAGCATGGCTGGGAGATTTAATGACGAGGAAGATGCTTCAAATGCCCACTCTAGAACATTTTATAATACACTGAAAGCTTGTACAATCACCTCATGGCTATAACCCAGCCTGTGGGCAGCCAAGAGTTTATCACTGAAGCTCAGGAATGCTTTTTAAAAACAGCCACTATAATTTATGACCACAGTGGATGCTTTCACCTTCACACACTGGTGTCACATCAGCAAACTTGGAGTAAACTAGGAGGAACGGTTGTCACTTGTAGTGTAATTTCGATTACAGTCTGCTCCTTCAGATGTGCAGAAGGTCCCAGAGGTGATGTCCAGGGTCAGGCAGTGCCAAAGGGTACAGGGCAGTACTGTGTGTGGTGCAGACAGAGAAATAAGAGTGTGCTTGCACAAAATGCTGCACAGCACAGAGCAGCTCTGCTCTCCACTCAGTGGTGTGTGTGGGATATAAATATGAGGAACATTTTGTTACACACCCTCCCTGTCAGTTTTGGATATTTGTCTGTCACGCAAAAAGAGAGAAAAGGCAATTTTTAAAACCATCTGAGGGTCTGCACCAACTGCAGGGCTGATGTGCATATCTACACAGATCTATGAGCATCCAAATCCTTCCTGAATCCAAATTCAGCCCACTCTAGCACCATGTGACCCTTGCATGCTGTTTGTTGGTCCCCAGGTGTTGCCAGCTGCATGAACTACCTGCCTCCCTGGGCTGGGCCACTGAATTATGCTGAGGACTGCACCCACATGGAAATATTACATGTATCAACATGGAAATATTATTAACATGCAAATATTAGGAATATTCCGCTGCTGAGTATCAGTTCCACTCATGGAGGTTTGCATGAACATGCAAAAGTTAGGAAACAGCTGCTTTCAAAACAGCTGCTTCTGAATAGCAAATGCATATTTTGCATTAGATTTGGTTTGCTTGAGAAGAGCTTTACTCTTGATGTTATGAAACCTGCCAAGAATGGCACAGAGACCCTCAGCCCGTGTCTGCTGCCAGCCTCTCTGCAAAGTGCCAGCTGTTGAAATTGTACCAAAGGGTCCTGCTATCTAAGAGTAGGGCATGTATATACTCATGTGTAAACAAACAAATAAATAAATAAATGTTTATATTTAAAAATTTATAGGAAAAGGTTTCTTGCCCTTGGGAGCAGATACTTAATAGAAGACAATAGGGTAGTTCAGTTGGAAGGGACCTACTGCTAGTCCTGTGGCCTGACTACTTCAGGACTGACCAGAATTTAAAGCACCTTATGAAGGGCATTTTCCAAATGCCTCTTAAACACCAGCAGCCATGGGGCATCAACCACCACTGTCAAACATAGGCTCTGTGGAGACCTTAGAGCACCTTTCAGTACCTGAAGAGAGCCTACAAGAGAGCTGCAGAGGGACTTTGGACAAGGGCATGGACAAGGGGGAATGGCCTGGGTAGGTAGAATTAGATATATTAGGGATAAATTATTGACTGTGAGGGTGGTCAGGCCCTGGCACAGGTTGCCCAGAGAAGCTGTGGCTGCCCCATCCCTGGAAGTGTTCAAGGCCAGGCTGGGTGGGGCTTTGAGCAGCCTGGTCTAGGGGAAGGTGTCCCTGTCCATGGCAGAAGGTATGGAATGAGATAATGTCCCTTCCAACTGAAACCATTCTGTGATTCTATGACATAGAAAGCCCACATGATGAGATCCATCAGTATGGAGCTGCTGGCTTTGCTCTGTGCTGTCAGCTAGAACAGCATTGCACTCATGTGACAGAAATGCTCTATTACAAAAAAAAGGATTTTTCCTGATATTGGATGGTGTTTCTGACAGAGATTCCTGAATCCTGAGTGCCTACAAAATCAGAGCCCTGCAGGAAGAGGAAAGAGTTTGTCTTCTCTTGTGGAAGATTTACACTTGGAATGTCCATGTCTGGATCCAGGCAGTGCTGGGTCCCAGGGTTCCCTGTGAGGGGAGGTTGGGGCTGCACCACGCTGGGCACACTGTGGTGTTTCCTCAAGTGTTGGTGGCATCAGGGTTTTGACCAGACCAGACCAGACCAGGGTTTTTGCCAGACAGTGACACAACCCCTGACCCTGTAGATGGGCTCGTGTGAACAGAGATGTGTGTGTGTGCTGTGCTCACTCTTGGTTTCTCTCCCAGAGCAGAGGTGGAGAGCAGGAACTACCGCAGGAAAGCTGCACTGAAAAAAATCCCCTTAGACCAGAGAGATGAAGACTGGGAACTCAAGAAAGAAGAGCTTAAGAAAAATCCACCATGTTTTTGGGAGAAGTGTACGGCCTCTATTCTAAAGAAAAATGGGGGAAAAAAGGGGAAGCAGTAGTGTGCCCTGCCTGTCTGGGGCCTCTGAGTGCTTGCAATGCAGAGCAAAGGCACTGGCAGACCTCAGGTGGATCTGCAGTGTGATATTTGGGTGAAGGGAAGAAGCAGAAGGCTACAAGAGTGCATCCTTAGAGATATACTGTAAACAATCTCCTTAAGAGCCAGAAGTGCATCGGCCTCTCTATGTGTTTCTATGTATCGGATCTCAAAAATAAAAACAACTGAAGAATATGTTTAAATATACCAATATTGTAAATCACTGCAATGTTTAGAGTTACTGCAATGGAGCAGTTACACATATTGCCAGGGAAAAAAGTAGTCTTGATCCTACCTGATTCACAAAAGCCTCTGGGACTATGATTCTGCTGTCTCTGCTGATGTCTATGGCCTTTGCATCTTTGCTTCTATCACTGAGTCAACCAGGAGGCTCTACATGGACTTGTAGCCTCTGGTGATGCCTGTCTCTTTTCTTGGATGTGGGATGTACTTGCTTTTTCTGGATGAAGCTGAGATACTAATGTTGAGCTTTCACTGGACACATGGATCCAACAGCCTGAATCTTCCATTCCTGGCCCAGCAAAAGGGAAAATGTGCTCCTTCCTTGCTGCTTTCAGACAGCTGTGACTACCAAGGGTATTGGAGCACTGCCTTTTTTTTAGCATTGTCCCCAGACACATTTATGTTTCTGCAAATAGGAATGGTGCACAACTGGTCCCAAGTTCTGCTTCTGCTCATTAACAGTATCCATGGCAAAAGCATTTTTAACACTTTCACTTCTCAGTCGTAAAATTTGAAATGTGACCCAGAGCAGTTTTCCATATCGTGCCAGTACTGGGCAGCCACTCCTGTTGATTTCTGACATCTCTCATGTCAGCTTCTCCAGGCTGGGCACATCCTGCATCTGTCTCCATGGGCTGTGCAGGGTGGCTGTGCTGATGGACATCCTGTCCCCTCCAGTGCCAGCTGAGTGGGACTGGCGCACAGGGCAGGGATTCTGTGCTGGCTGTCACATTCTCAGGGGTTTCATGGGGATGTAAGGAGGGACCCCAGTGTCATTCTCTGGGGCTGTGGTGTTTTGTGTGGTAACATCTGCAAGGTGCTGGATTTTCCTGCTGAGTCTTGCAGTATGTAAGGTTGTGAGGGATGGATGTAGGGCATAAGATGTGTTGATTTCTGACATCTCTCATGTCAGCTTCTCCAGGCTGGGCACATCCTGCATCTGTCCCCATGGGTTGTGCAGGGTGGCTGTGCTGATGGACATCCTGTCCCCTCCAGTGCCAGCTGAGTGGGACTGGTGCACAGGACAGGGATTCTGTGCTGGCTGTCACATTCTCAGGGGTTTCATGGGGATGTAAGGAGGGACCCCAGTGTCATTCTCTGGGGCTGTGGTGTTTTGTGTGGTAACATCTGCAAGGTGCTGGATTTTCCTGCTGAGTCTTGCAGTATGTAAGGTTGTGAGGGATGGATGTAGGGCATAAGATGGATCTTCCAGGGTTTTCCTGTGAAAGTGTTGGGATTGTCATGTTAAAGGATGAAGTTCATGAGCAGCAGCAGAGGAAGAAGGGATGTGTGGCTGTTTCTGTCCTTTCAAGGGCATTCAGAGAGGGGAAATGTGTCCAGAAGAGCTGCTTACGATCTGGCTCTGGTCCTGAGTTGGTGGTAGAAGTGACCAGTTCAGGTTCTGCTCTGTTCTGTATGTTTCACCTGCTGTGGGGGGTCGGCCTTAGGGAGCAGCCAGACACCCACTCAGCTGTTCCTTCACTGTCACCCATAAACAGGGTGGAAAATAGGATGGAAAAGCTGATGGATCAGGATAAAGACAGTGAAATCACTCATCAGTTACTGTCACAGACAAAACAGACTTGATGTGAAGAAAATGAATTTATTTACCTACTGAAAGTACAATAGGATGATGAAAAATAAACACAAACTAGAACCCACTGCTTCCACCACCCTTTCATGCAAAGCTCAACTTCCCTCCTTCATCCCCAGCTCCTCCCCCACAGCAGCACAGGGGGAAGGAAAATGAAAGTGCAGTCAGTTCACAGTGAGTTGTCTCCACTCCCTTTTCATGCGGTTTCCCTGTCCCAGAACAAAACCTGGGAGTTTTACTGAGTGCACTGGGAAAAGCCAGTCTCATCTCCAGGTCAGGCCAGGAGAGCAGTCCCACAGAGCAGGCAATGCTGTCCTTGCAGGCAGTGGGGCACAGGGGACACGCAGGGCTGCAGTGGGAAGGGGGCTCTGCACCCCCTGAGCTCCCCGGGGCCGTTCCTGCCTCGCTGTTTGTGGGTCAGTGACCACCTCTGGTGAGTGCCAGGGCTCAGCGTCTTCACACAGAGCTATCAGCCACTGCCAGACTGTGACACAGCCCACAACAGATCACACAGCACAGGGCCACAGCAGAAGGAAAGGTAAACCAAAATAGAGATAAACCGTGTAGTTGATTTCAGTTGTTTGAGTGAGAAAACGCCAGAGCATTTGATGGCCAGTTTGCAGTATTTTTATTGCCCTTTTACAGCCAGCGCCTGTACCAGCTCTAAATAACTTTGTTACTGACAATAATTAAATTCAAAGAATTATCTATATGAAATTGTAATTGAAAATATATTATGTAAGTCACATTAATTTAGTTCATAGTATTTGAATGATATATTCTTAATATCAGTGATGAGAACGTTTGTATCATCTATAATGCTTGGAGAGTTGCACTAGAGATTAAACTACTTGTTTTCTATAATGAAATATTACCATTTTTTATGGGCTCCAGATTTTGCTGGAGTTCCTAACTTATGCAAACCTTGCACTTAACACTTCTTTCTAAGGGAAGAATCTTTAGCAGTGTGTTTTCTAATTTGGGATTGCTGAAAACCAGAATAAGGGAGTGCAGACCCGGAAAAATGTACTGAAATACTACAATGAGAAATGTCATATGATTTCCCTTCTTTGTGACATAAACCATATATAAGACCAAACATACAAAATTGATGCTGTACATCACGAAGAAGGAGAAAATAGATTTCATGGCTCTGATGTGGGCATCCATGCTGAGGTCCTTCATGGAGTTTGTCTGCATCCTGCGCTTGTGTCTCCAGAGAGAAAAGAGAAGGAAAACAGCAGAAAAGATGACAACCAAGAATGAAGCAGCATATTCAAAGCCAGTAAGAAAAAAAGAAGGGAAAAATTTTTTATCCATTTTGATATTTGCTGTCCCAAAATTTCCTCGTCCAGTGGAATTGCTGTTGCAGTGCAGTTTATCAGCGATGTCATAGGCAACGATGCCAACAGCCAGAGCTAAAATCCCTGATGCCAACAGAAGCCAGGGCACCATCCTGTCAATTTTTCCCTTCAGGTAGATGAAGAAGCTGTTCCTGACATTGGCAATTTTTATACAATAAAAACTACAAAGAGACGCAGAAAACCACAAGTTGCAATGATTAAAAAAGGCTTGAAAAAATACAGCTAGTTGAAGTATGCTGTGAACATAAAGGTAATTGGGATAAATAAAGGAAAGAAATTTATATACCCAGGAGATGCACAAATACCAAAACCTGGAGCATCCCAGCAGCAGCAAGATCTTCTCATTAGAGTTCAGGGTTTTCTTTTTGACCCAGGCAATGCAAAGCACACAAACGATGAAAGCATTTATCCACATGCCAGCAAACACCTCCAGGGTGATGATGGCCACAGTTGTGGCCCCATATGAAGTGACATTGGATTGCTGTGGAGGGTGACAAGCTTCCATGGTGTGAGCTGGGGAGCAGAGCTGTGCTGGCCAAGGGGGCTGTGGCAGCAGAGCCTGAGGCAGGTCAGTGGCTGCTGTTGGTGGAGTGTCAGGGATGGCAAGAGCAGCTTTATAGAGCTGCTGCTGCTGCTGCTGCTGCTGGGGGGATTTTGGTGGCGCTGCTCTGGGCAGCAGGGCAGGTGCAGGGATGTAAATGTGCTGGGTATCCCCTTACCCGGGGCCAGTGTCACTCTTGACTATTTGAATGTTGGTTCAGGGAGGCTGTGCTGGGTGTCACAAACAGCAGAGATGTTTTTGTGTGGTGGAGAGTTTTGTGATTTTGAGAGTGATCCCTGTTTCATCAGTGTCAGGCTTCAGGATCTGGGCTCTTCTATTCCTTTGTCATCTACTATGTCCAATTTTATTTTTGATTGCACTAAATTTTAAATGTTATTTATTATTTTTTTACATTTATGATAGGCAGACTATTGCCTTGAGGGAATTTTTGATTTCCTGATAGTGCCTGTTCTCTGCTTAAGGCTTTGATGTGAGTTTCCTCCTCTTTTCCTGAAAACACTCTGGGGTTGTTGGGTTTTTTCCCTTGTTTGTTTGATTGATTGCTTGCTTCTTTCTTTTTCTCTCCATATCTTTGTGAATAGAAGTTATTTCTATTACAACAGTGTGTAGTCCCAGTGTGTACTGGGACTGTGCAGGACCACACCATGGCTGAATTTTGGGCTCTGTTCTGGGGAATCTGGCACCTTGAAAATAAATTAATATAACATCAGAGTCTCAGCTACCAGGTTTTCAGTGCATGGAATGTGTGGATTGGTTCTTTAAAACACAAGGTCTGCTTTTAGTTCAAAGCCTTCCCCTCCAGTGTCATTGGAGAAGGGGAGAGATTCACCAAGACTTTGTACCTACCATCCCTGTAGAGACTGTGTGGTCTTAGGAAAAGGAAATATTGTAGTGATTAAGATGTTACTCTGGTTTAAAAGGTTGTTTCTCTCATTTCATGAACAGGAGCAAATATTTTTGAAGGTGATAATATGAAAAATGCACACCTGGCACTGCGTATGCAGTAAATTGTCCTTCTGAGCCAGAGCTGGTGAAAGAAATCAACAGATTCTGTTCTGTTGATGCTGGAATTATTTAATATTTACATGACCTGCTGTGGATTGTTAAACTTGATACCTGCCAGATCCTCCACCCAGCCTCTTCTTCACCCTTGCTCTGCAACAGGTCAAGAGGGAAAATAGAAGATGGAAAAGCTCATGGGTTCAGATAAGGACAGGGAGATCACCTGCCAGTTACTCTCATGGAGAAAACAGACTCAAATTTCCAAAAATCAATTTAATTTATTGCTGTTTGAATATAGACTAGGATGGTGAGGAACAAACACAAAACAAGAGCACTGTCCCTTCCACCCTTCATCACAGCTCAAAATTCACTCTTTCATTCCCACGTTCTCCACCTCCTCCCCAGCATGGTGCAGGGTGACATTGAATAA